AATTAAACGAACCAAACATGAACACAAATAATAAAGCTCGAATCAAACACAAACCAAACATGAACAAGCTAATGTTAAACAAACACAAACATGAACACTCACATACTCGGCTCGGCTCGGTTCGTTTGCAGCCCTACGCGTTCGGGTCAACCTAACCTGAACCGACTCATTAACCATGGAAACACCAGTAGTTGTGGGGTCAATAGCGACGGGTAGACGGCTGGCACACTTACAGTCAACAACGGCGGACAATTGGACGACGTGGTGAGAAGCAAGTAGGTGGGTCGGCTACTCAGTGTGACGGGCACCAGCAGCGATTCAGCGGGACGCGACAGGCATCGACGCAGTGGGCACATGGGTCGGTGACCTAGTGTGACGGGCATCAGCAATGACTCAGCGGGATGTGGCGGACAGGTGCAAGGGAATAGACGCATTAGGCATGTTGGTCAGCTTTACCGTGACGGACGTGATGCAAGACTGGGGCATCAGGGGAAGCGATGCACAACACGTGGAAGAGGGATTGGACTCGGATGCGATGCGGACAGCTCCGGTAAAGGCAGGTAGCGGGTCATTCCAGGTCATTATTCGGTTTTCGAGTCAACCCAAGCCTAACCCGATTTTACAAACGAGTCGAAAACCTTAACCTGAACCCGGCCTAGTTCAGGGTCGAGTCAGCTCGAACCTGAAATTTTAGAGTCGGGTTCGAGTCAGATTTTCGGGTCGTGTCCAATATTAACACCCATATTATAATGTATAAACATCTTTATAATTTTTGTTTTAAATCTATTAATGCTTTATTCTTATACTTCAACTGATATTATTTATTTTTCATGTTAATTAGTTGATATTAATTTTCTATTATTCATCTTATTTTTAGAATTTTACCCATTGGAGAAAGAGAATAGAAGATTTGATGAAAAAGTTATATTTTGTACGATGAAGAAGAGATTAGTTATTTAAAAACATCATATTACACAACTCTCCTAACATCATATTTTTTAATTTTAAAAAGAATTCTTTTAATTAATTTTGTAAGTTTTTTACTTCATAGTTTTTTAATTATATTAATTTTTTGTCACATATTTAGAATCATAGCATCATTGTTATGCAAGTTTTATTATTATTTAAAAAATAATATTTGTTATCTCATCCAATTAGTTCCTGGTTGGTCGAATCATCAAACCGTAAACCTCTTGTTCTTCTAGTTCATTGTCTAGTCCCATTTTCACAATCTTAAGAAATTATCTGGTGCCAACAACGCATGTGAAGCTGTGTCCAATTTCCAATATAAAAGCCTACTCCATAGAACATAAGGATTGCAAAAAAATATAACCCAAAAAGAGCCCAAAAACAAATGACAGAATTAATAATATACTAAAAAAATATGTAATCTTTGAGTCCACACAAGCAAATTGCAATATCTGCATTGTGAAGGAACTAAAGGCTTTGCTCAAACCCGGCCCACAAGGCCTTGTTTTCAATCAAGGAGAAAATAATAATAATAATAACAATATAAATGTGGTCCCTCACATTTCAGGCGAATTATTATGTCCGTTCATCGGATGTCCAGACACCCAATCCAGATGAGTCACGTCACCCGAATACATTGGATTCCGGTGTATTTTGGTGACGTGGCGCATCTAGATTGATGTCCGGATGAATCCAGACACTGGACGTAATAATTTTCCCACATATCAGCACATCCGTATGAACTTCAGTAGGCCGATCTTCCCTTTTAGAATTCATTTACTTATAAAATATGAAACGACCAATGGACCGTGAAATCACAGAACAATGGTCACGCTGGAAATAATTATAGGAGAGAGAAAGAAATATGCATCTTCAACAAACATAGATTAAATACAGCTCATTTTGATTTGTTTACTGGGAGCTTTGATTATAACCTAAGAAAGTTTGGATTCAAGTCTTACGTATGTGATATGTGTGTATGAGTTTATCTTAATTGATCTAAACGTAAAAAAAAAAAAAACATCCAAAAAATAATGGACAAATTAATTTGCCACTCAATTCTATAAAGCTAAGTTATCAAACTTAGCACCCATAAAAAGTATCCATCAAATTAGAATTCAATATCAATTGGAGTGTTAATATTTGACACGACCCGAAAACCCGACTTGAACCCGACCCGAAAGTTTCGGGTTATGGTCAACCCGAACCCGAAACAGGTTGGGTTCGGGTTCAATATTTCGACCCGTTTAAAAAATCGGGTCGGGTTAACCCTTTGACCCGATTTTGACCTGAAAACCCTATTTTGACCCGGTAACCCAAGATTGACCCGATTTTGACATGTTCTTTTCCCGAAAAAGAGGAGATATACCCGTTTTTGACCCGAAAACTAGAAATTTTTTGTTGGAAACAAGTCATTCGGGTCATGTCGGGTTGACCTGGACCTGAAGCGGGTCAGGAAAACTAACCCGTTTTTAAAAACGGGTCGGGTTCGAGTTGACCCGATTAGTGTCGGGTCAGTTTCAGGTTCGACCCGAATCCGACCCGTGACCCAAAATTGACACCCCTAAGTATCAGCACATCAAATAGGTAAAACAAGAAATTATATAACTTTTTTGTTTTGCGACATTTAAGCTATTGAGACAAACTCACATACACATTATATGTGCATGTTTTGAATTCAAAATCACTTGATTAGAAATCAAAACTCTCAATCAATAAATCAAGACAAATCAAGGCAGGCTACATAAATTACATAACATAACAAGCATAAGCAACAAAAAATATAATTACAATAATTGCAAAGATAAAAAGAAAGAAAACCTTTACTGGAAACTAATTCAACTCCTCTTATCTAATTATGCAAGCTGTTTGCATTATTTTTAAATTATTCGACGTCATTCTTTTTGTTCGTGCGGGCTGCAGCTGCCATTTTCTCCATAATAATAATAATATAATAATAAAATATTTATTATCTTTTTCTTCGTCATAAAGACTCAAAATAATAAAATAAAATAAAAGTAGGGGAAAGGAACGTGTTGCCATTTGGCACGCAAGGCTAAGGAAATAATCAGACCACTTGCTATATTTTATATATATTATATATATATATATATAAATATTATATATATATTATTAACATTTTCGTAAGCACTCTGAAAGAACCTTCAAAACTTAATTATAATAAAAGAAAACATAAAAAAAAACTCTCCAATAATAAGTTGTAACACAAACAAAAACAAAAATAAAGCTACTGATAAACTTTTAATCCTTCAACATCAGAGCCCTGCATTAGGTACCAATACCCACCAGCACCCACGTACCACCATATCTGATTGTAGCAACATCTTAGCTTTATTATGCTTAAGGATTAATTTACCTTTCATGCTCTAGATAGTTCTATTTTATTCTTTAAATAGTTGGCTAATGTAAATGATTGAACTCATTGAATGAAATATTAATACTCTTGAAGCTTAGAGCTTGTGTTTCTTCTTTCCCTGGATTGGGATAAAAATCATTCTTGCAGGTCGAGTCTTTCGATGATCCATTACATCAATATCCAATGGGCATGGGTGGGTATGGGTACGCCCATGGCCTCGTAATTGGATATGGGTGGGTACTCAACATCAAGGGACAAATCGATTTGTATTACTAATCAATCATAATGCGCAATATATTATAGTAATCCCTTACTATGCAGTGCGCAGCACTGAACCGCGCCGCGATCACGATAAATTTTGATACGTGACTTAAAAATTTGCAGTCAGATAAAAAAGGTCAAAAAATCTTACCTCATTAGGGCTCTGCTTACACAAACAGAAATCCTATTTAGTATAATTTTTTTTTTATAAAATTACATAAAAGAAATTCTTATTATTATTAATTACATCAAAACTCCATCCTTTTTACTTAAAAAAAAATAAAATAAAAACTTGTTCACCGCTGCATATTCAGCGCCATGAAAGTCTGCATAACCTCCATCCAAGCTATCTGCATTAGAACGCAGTC